TGCTGCTGATCTCTTTCATGCTGCTGCTGCTGATGTGTTTCATGTTGATGTGTTCATGCGTGCTCATCTGCTCACACAGACTCATGTTCGTGCTGCTGTTCGACGTAATGTTTTATGTTATGAGTGCTTAGTGTATATTTAGTTGATGTTTTTCTTAGTTCTTATCATAGATGTTGTTACTGTTTTTATTTTGCATTTTATTGTTGGATGTAACTGGGACCCTGTGAACACAATCTCGTTCCACCACATGTACCACATGAGGTGTGCACGACTAAAGAAACTGACATTAAAAATGAATCAGGTGTGCAGCTACTTCCAGGTGAGAGGTGACTTTTGAAGATTGAGTTGTCATCGCAAAATCCAAGATGGCTGCCACCATATGTGACTGGAAACCAGGGAAGAACCTGGAAAATGACTTTGACTTTCCCCAGAGAGGGAGACGTCAGAGAATCTGAACTGATCTGCTGATGTGAACCCTGACCCATGATTTGGACGTGCACGTGTGCTAATGCTAGTTTAGTCCATACTGTGCTTCTACAGTGTACATGAGTCCTTGTGGTGGCTGGTGAGTACCTGATGTTCTACAGTAGAGCTAATAAGAATCCAGGCTACACTTCCTGTCAGCTCTGGATGTGACTCTGCCAAACACCAAGTTCTGGATGTTTCAGTTCTCCTGGAAGTTCAGGATTGACTCTGAAAATCTGTGAATTTTGTTTTCATGAACTGCTGTGAACCTGGATCTATGTCCCCCTCCCCCTGTGAGCACCGTCATTTAACAGTAAGTGAGATGCTCACACGTGGCTGTGTCAGGTAGGTTTTATGGTCATTCACACCATGTGGTGCATGAGGTGGAATGAAACTGTGTCCTCAGGGTCTCACTTACATCAACCATAGCAAAAATATAACGTGTAAAAAGAAACTGTGATAAAGATCTAAGATATAAACTAAGAAATACGCTAAACACTAATAGTACATAAACAATACGCCGAACAACAGCAGCACGAACATGTGTCTGTGCGAGCAGATGAGGATGAATGAACACAGCAACATGAAATGAATCAGCAGCATGACATCAGCAGCATGGATAATCAGCAGCATTAAAAGTAATTGTGCTCTGATATCAGTCAGATGGATTCAACATGACCAGCTCATGTTGGAGGGAGCTCTGACCAACCCGTCAGGGTTAAATGGACTAAAGCACTTTACTTCTTATCAAGTGCTTTACACTACAACAGTTAATCTGGAGTTAACTAAATCAGTTCAAACCTGAACAGTTAACCACGAGTTAACTAACTCAGTTAACCTCAACAGTTAACTAACTCAGTTACAGCATCATCACGAAAACAGTTCTTTCCTGAACTCTGGGTTAACTGAGTTAACAGTTTAGATTAACTGACGTACTTAACTCGGGGTTAACTGTTCAGGTTTAAACTGATTTAGTTAACTCCAGATTAACTGTTCAGTTTAGTTAACTGTTCAGGTTAACTGAGTTAACAGTTTAGATTAACTGAGTTGGTTAACTCAGAGTTAACAGTTTAGGTTAACGGAGTTAGTTAACTCTGGGTTAACTGTTCAGGTTTAAACTGATTTCGTTAACTCCAGATTAACTGTTCAGTGTAGTTAACTGTTCAGGTTAAGTAAGTTAGTTAATTTGGGGTGAAGTGAGTTGGTTAACTCAGGGTGTTCCTGGTCTGGCCCGTGGTCTCGGCTGAAACGGTCTGTGTTCATGTGTCCTCCACGAGAGTCGAACCTTCAGCTGCTTTACATTCATTTATTAATACGCAACTTTAAATAGTTTTTCTTTACAAGTTTTTTATGAAACGTCAGAAAACAAAGTGAAGAAGCGTTCATTGACAGAATGCCTGTCGCCCGCCGCCTTCCACACTAAACGTCTGAACCGAGATGTTTAATGACTGCTTAGTGCTCAGTTACATGTTGGGGATGACTCTCAGCAACCATCACACCAACACTTACTTGGATCTCTGCACAACCTGCCAAGGTCAGGTAGCTGTGGCGGCCATCTTAACTTCACAAGTTCCATTGTTGTAATTGAACTTTATAAACTGGAGAGTTCCAGTCCGGTTTATAAAGTCCCATGTGAGCTCCTCCTCTCTAACCGAAGCCAGTCCGCTCTGTAGATCCTGCAGGACAATCTGTGCCAGTGAAGTGTTGAAGTGTCTGCTCCTCATAACCACACGGATCTCTGCTCTGCATCAGATCTAACGAGGCTTAAAGAAATCTTCTTTTCTTCGTTTGAGTTCAGTTTCTGCTCTCCTCGAAGCTGCAGCAGAAAATTAAAGATGTGTTGAGAACAAACAGTGTGTGTGTGTTCCAGCGAGCTAATGTCGTGCTCTGAGGACGGCAGTGTGAGGATGTGGGAGATCCAGGACCTGCCTTTACCTGCTGAACCTGCATCTGCAGGTAACACACACACACACACGCGCGCACACGTTAGTGCTGTGTAAAGTGTTTATAAAAACAGAGAGATCCATGGGAACCTCATCTTGACGTCTCTGTGGAACACGGTGAATGAATCAAACGTTAAAACTAAGAAATTGTTGCATTTTTTATTTAGAAAAATAAACTTGTTTTGAGTTTTATGAGACAGGAGCAACAAGGAAGTGGTATATAAATAAGAAACAGTAGGACAAGGAAGAGGGCGGGGTATAAAAAGAAGGGGCGGAGTCTGTCAGAAGTAAAGATGGGCAGAGGTTTACCAGTCCTTAAAAAAGCTGTGTGTAAAACTAGTGGAACATTTTAATTAACGGTTGGGAAGACCGTGAAGATCCTGTCATCTACAGTTCATGAAAAGATTTCAAGAATGTGGAGAAACCTCTGAGCTCTGAGGACGAAGGGCCCCCAGACCACAGGCGACCAAT